TCCCCTGCCCAGAGCTGGGCAGATGCCCGGGAACACGGCCGCCCTCAGCCGTGCCCTGGGCCCCACAGCCAGCTGACCCTCCTCTGAGAGCCCCAGGCCCAAAGCCGCTGCCCCAGCTGCGGGGGTCAGGTCCCGTGTGCAGGCGCACAGCCCTTCAACCAGCAACTGCGCATGGGAGGCTGCCGTCCGAGGACACTGTCCAGAAAGGGGGTGAGGCGGGGTCCAAAGCCATTCACCGCAATGGACTGAATGCTTGTGTCCCCTAAAACGCACACGTTGAAGCCCAGGTCCCCAGTGGGACAGCTGGTGGGGGCTTGGGAGGTGAGCAGGGTGGGAAGAGGCCATGAGGGTGGCCCCACACATGGACCAGTGGCCGTATATGAAGGGACACCAGAGAGGCCCCCTCTTCCCTCCGCATGAGCCCACAGCGGGAAGGTGGCCGTCTGCAAGCCGGGATGCAGGCGTTCACTGGAGCCGGCCGTGTGCACCCGATCTCAGCTTCCAGCCTCCAGTGGGCAACGCATGTCTGTGGTTTAAGCTCCCAGCCACCGGGATTCGTTATGGCGGCCTGAGAGGCAAAGCTATTTGCCCCAGGGTTGCTTAAAGGAGTGACAACATGGGACACCCCATCCCAAACACCAGCGTGTGCTGGAGACACAGGTCAGGTTCACATGCTGTGCGCCTCACGGTGGAGTTTAGGAAGGGTTTGTCATAGTGGGAAGGTGATGCCATGAAGAATGCGGGACACAAAGCTGTGTTTGGACTGAGATGTCAACTACAGAAATACGTCCACATACACATATGCCAACATGTAAGTGTGTGTACCTGTGAGCACACACAGGTGTACACATGTTTGTGGGTACTGAGTGTAAACACCAGATGTTTACTGAAAGGGCTTATGCCCAATAGTAATACACTTTTCTTGACTGGTTTTTCTTGTGTATGTGTATGTGTGGTGGTGGTGGGGGGTTGTTATTTAAATTTCAAACAATGGACATGTATTATTACTAAAATTTTTAAAAAGGAATTTTTTTTAAAGAAGATAAGTTGGCTAGACTCACTCAGGCTGGGCAATAATGTCTTTAGTACTACACTTGTGTTCACTTCCCAAATAGTGTTCCCCTGTTCCACCCCCTGGGAAGCTTCCCTCCTGGAAACACATGCACACACACTGCGAGGTGCCTCAGGTCTCCTTATTAGAGCTCATCTGGTCTAGCTGGGGAAACCAAGGCCCAAGGACCAGGGTTGGGTAGCTGGACTGTGACTACCACAGGGGGCCCACAGGGTCCCAGTCACGAGTAGCTGAGAACCGAGGGGCCAGCAGGTACAGAGTCAAGTCCAGGCCACATGGAGCTGCTCTGCACTCCAAACACCTGCTGTCTTCTGAGCAACCTGGCAGGAAATCTGGCCAAGACAGGATGCCTGGGCCACCATGCGACTATATTTTCTAGACCCCATTGAACTTGACTGGGTTCCACCCCAGGTCATGTGATCACAAATGGTGTGTGCCCCCTCCAGGCTAGGTTCCCTCCCTTCTGCCTGAGATTCTCCACTCTCCCCCCTGCCACCAGTGCAGAGAGATGTGCATGTAACCCAGGAAGGCAGGAAGATGGCTGTGCCACAGACAGAAGGAGCCAGGGCCCCTGGGTTCCCACGTGCAGAAGCCCCTGGTGGGCATCAGGGGTGAGGAATGAACTTCTGCCTTTCAGCCACTAGCCAGTGGGAGGTCTATTTGTCACAGAGACTGGCATTCCTTTGCAACCCGATAGTCAGCCTCTCTTAGAGACCTGGCGACAGAAGCAGCAGGTGTGATTCACTGCCAAGCGCACGAAGCTCTGTGATCCAGGTGCAAAGCTGCTGTGCGGTGGAGGCGAGGGTCCCACCCCAACACGGCTGCAGGCCACCAGCACCATGGCTGCTTCCTGAGCACAGACACCTACGCGGCACTGCAGGGTGAGTGCGGGTTACTCAGGCAAGGCGGCGCAAGGAACAGCGTGCACCAAGGCCTGGAAGAGAAAGCTGGCACTGTGTGCTCAGAGGACATCGGGGAGCTTCAGAGTTGGGGGAACTTAGAATTAGGGGCATGGAGAGGAGGGAGACAGCTGGAGAGCTTGGTGGGCAAAGGATTCGGTTTGTACCACAGGGCAGCAAAGGGAAAGCAAACGGACAGGAAAACTGGGAGGGTGGAGCAGGGGGCAGGGTGGGCAGCCGGGAGGCCGGCAAGAACCAGGCAAACAGCCCGTCCCCCGTGTCGCTGGGCCCCTGCTGGGGGCGGACAGCAGTACGGAAGGAGCCGGGCTCTGGGCACTGCCAAGACTGTGCAACTGTCCCTCCGACTGCCTGTCCAACCTTCCCCTGAGTGTTCGCAGGACGCAAGCCTGCTGGGCATCCCCCAGCCTCCTTCAGGGAGAGACGGTCTCTGGGCTGAGTCCTCCTGGCGGCAGTGGGCCCTGCAGCTGATATCCTGACACTGGCAATCCTAAGGTGCCAGCAAGACCTGTTTAAAAAACCAGCCCAGATGCGAGGCATTCCTGTGAGTGAGCTCCGTGGCGTCATCGGGGGGCACCCCTTGGGTCTGCCAGTTCCTCAAGGAGAGTTGCCCATGAAGGCCACACCCCTGACCCGTCCTGGCAGCGCTGGGGCCGGGATCCCCACACAGCCCAAAGGGAAGCAGCCCCGGGGTGCAGAGGGACAGAGAGCAGAGGGGCAATCGGCCCAGAGTGGGCAGGCGGGGCTGAAAGGGAAGGACACCCAGCGAGGAGGGCTCGTTGCGGGTCTGCCACCTTTGCCCAGCCACGGCTGACTGCTCCCCGGCCTCAGGATCACAGCCTCTCCCCACGGCCCACCTCCTGCCCTCCACCCTCTGCTCCTGCTCCCTCCCATCATCCCCCTGCTGCTGGGGTTCCTGCAGACCTGAAATAGGACGTCACCCTCCTGCCTCAAGCCCTCAGCCTGAGCTGAGACCCGGGCCCAGTGTTCCCCACCAGGCACCGTCCTGCTTGCCCTGACCCCTCTCCGCCTGAACCCCAGCACGGGCCGGGCACCCGGGGAAGCTGCCTGGCCGTCTGCTCTCTTAGCCCGGGCGCTTCCGTGTGCTCAAGAGCCGGAGCAGGGGAACCACACCTCAAGCGCTTTCCTGAAGAAAAGGTGTTTGACTGGAGTTTGACGAGGTATTTGTGTCTTCCAAAACACAGACTCTGTCTTTGAACATCAGAAACGGAGTGTTTACCTAAATTATGTGCAATTATTTTGATTCAGATGCCTCGATTTTCATATACAGATGGGATTTTCAAAACTGAAATAACAGATCTCTTGTCTACGGGCTGAGGCCCTGGGGACAACTTAAAACATCGCTACCGACCCCGAGACGGCCTCGAGATGCAGGACCGCTGTGCCGCTCGCTGTGGATTCTGCACCACCGAGAGGAAGGCGACTTTTTGAAAAAGGATTCACACATTTTCAAGAGCCTTTAGAATTATGACGCTGCCTGACTGGGAACTTAGGCACTGAAAAGCTGCGGCGAGCGAGGCATGAGCAGCGGGTCACTTAGAAGGCACTGGGGGTCATGTAGCCACAGATCATGAGGCTGGTTTAGGGGGCTTAGAAAGGTGGCATCGGAAAGGGTGTGGGGTTCAGGGAGGCCAACCTCCAGCCAGCCGGCCCCAGCGCCTGCAGACCTGCTGCTGGAGAGAGTCGGGGCATCAGAGCCAGGGACCCAGAGAGGCTGCTTCCAGCTCCCACATTTCAGGACTTGAGGCTCTATCGCGTTGTCTGTGCAATTATTTAATCAGAATCTATCTCCCCAGGTGGAAGGACAGCCCATGAAGGTACCCACAGCCCGGGATGGGGCCGAGTTGAGGGGGAGATGCTCACAACTTACTGAATGAATGAAGGAGACATGCGTGAGTACGTGACGATGCCAGCGGCCATTGACGGGACAAGCGAATCAGGGCCTGTCAAATGCTGGAGGTGGTCCTACCTGCCTGGGAAGCAGTAAGCATAGAGGTCTGTGCTTTTGTGAAACAGCTTTGCAACCTGTTATAATGTGGTACTGTGATTTATAATAAATATATTTGGTTTTCATCTTGGCACAGAGCTCCTAAAACTGTAGGAATTTCCTGTCTTTTATTACGTTAATAAGGTGACTACTAGAAAGCTTCGTAGATCACTTAAGAATGGGACCTGGTAGCCAGTAGAGCCAGCCTGTGATTGGGCAATAGCTTCGCAGGTCACCTCTGAGGAACGAAGTCCCCAAAGAGCCCCAAAGGAAGGTTAGGGGGGCTTCAGGTTGGCGACCACATGCCTGGCAGCAGGGAATCCTGCTCCTATCTGGGCTTCACCCCACATGTCTATTCCACCTGGCTGTTCCTGAATTACATTCTTTTATAATAAAGCTGTGACCTAGAGAGTAAAATGCTCCTCTGAGTTCAGTAAGCCACTCTAGCAAATCAACCAGATTCCCAGAAGAGGGCTTGGGGACCTCCAGTCCATGGCAGGTAGGTCAGAAGCCTGGGCAACAACCTGGATTTGGTGACTGGCATCTGAAGGCGGGAACAGTCCTGTGGGGTCTGACGCCTTCTCCAAGTAGACGGTGTCAGCTGAGCGGCACCACAGGACACCCAGCTGATGCTGAGACTTGCTTGGAGCGGGGAAGGAGCCCACACATTGGAACCGGTGTTAGTATCATGGCTAATTTAAGATGCAAGGATCTCATCTCATCCAGGTGCTCAGAAGAGAGGAAAAACAGGTGGCAGCCAGCACGGATTCGACTTCTGCACACGGGGCACCGGGTCTCTGTCCCCGGGCAGCCAGGCAGCACGCATGCCCTTGTCTCCACTCTGCCACCTGTGGTCCCTTTACCACCCTGAGCCTCAGCCTCCTCATCTGAAATGAAGTGGCCGTTCCTGTCCTGGTGGGTGACAGTCTGTGGGGACAGAGGCAGGGGAGTTTGCAGAGTGCTTTGAAAAGGACAGGGTCTCCGAAAAATCAAGTGGAGGCTATACAGGAGGCAGAGGCTACACCAGAACAGGGCTGGGTCTGTGCAGTGGGGGCGTCTATACCCCCTGGAGAGGGGAGCAAGATACAGAAGGACCATTGTTCCTTTTTCTGGCTTCATTTCTCAAGCTGTGAGGCTGAGGCTGACCCACAGGCCCCAGGCAGGACCCTGTGACCCACTTTGGAACCCTGCCTTTGTCTGTATGCAACCCTCTCAGAGGCACAGCCACAAACCCACTGAGCATGTTGGTGAGCTCCGGGGCTGCAAACGCTCCTCTGGTGGCAGCAAACCAGAGAGGTGGACCTGAAGGCCTCCCCGGAGGGGTGAACAGCTCACGGGCCGCGGTCCTCACCCAAGTTCACGGCAGACGTCACCAATCAAACCACCCCACGCTTTACTGCTGGGACTGTCCTCATTTCAGAATCTCTCCTGGCCCAGGTACCAGAGGCTCTGAGCTCGCTTAAATGCTGACACCTGCTGACCATCCCCAGGCTGAGGGGCTGAAGGCTGTAACAGGGAAGAAAGCAGCAACCTGCTGATGAGCGAGCCGCTCTGCCCCGGATTCTTTCTCCTTTGTCCCCGGGCAGAACCGGGCCGCACCTGATGTCTGCAAAGAGAAACTTGAATAGAATCACAGCAAGCCTGCTAATACCACTGGCAAGGAGCCCTAATTAAGGCATGGAGAGCACACACCAGAATGCCTCAGCGCCGTAGCTGCTGGGCTTAATTGAGAGAAAGAGAGGCAAGGGGCTCGATGGGCAGGCAGGTCGGGGGTGCTGAGCCCCGCCGGGGGCTCTGAGCGCCTGGAATCAGCAGGCTTGTCACCCTTACGTGGGTTTAGTGGAAGCAGATATTAGCATGCGGCCTCCCTGTAGGCTGGCAATCCCTAGACCACAGAAGTGCAAAGAATGGCTGAGTGTAGCCAGCTCTCTGCAGTTCAGGTACATGAGAGAGAATGTTAACAGCTCCACTTTCCTATTTCCCCACACAGCTTAGACTGCAGCCAGCAAATGCCCCACATTGCTGATGCAGGAGGTGCTTCTCAGGCAGCCGGCAAAGGGCGGGGCCCCAGGTTGAAGACCACAGTGTGCCGCCCCCTACTGGGAATCCTGGGCAAGTCACAGCCTCTCCCGTTCCCTCAAAGGTAGGGACAGCTCGGCCAGGGTTGAAGGTCCTTGTGATGCCAGGTGGATGTAACAGGGCTCAGGAGGGCTGAACTTGGCTGCAGCATCGGGAGGAGGCTCCTGCTGCCTGCACATCAGTGGGCTTCTTGGTTCGGGGTAGACCACACAGGGGCAGAGGGTGAACCACCCGGCCCTACTCCAGCGCAGTAGGGCTTCAAGTCCTCCAAGCTGGCCCCTGGGGAGATGGGAGAAAGGGTGCCCTGGGGCCAGGGAGCATCCTGGACAGAGATGGACTGCAGCCTCAGCCACTTCCCTTTGGGGTCTGCAGTGGGCTGAATAGTGACCCTCCAGAGGGCAGCTCTACATCCCGACCCTTGGAACCTGTGAACCAACCTTATTGGAAAAGCAAGTTAAAGATCTTAAGAGGAGATCATCCCAGATTATCTGAGCGGCCTTAAATCCTTGAGACAGAGGAGGAGACACAGACCTGCAGGGGAAGGCATGTGAAGGGGCACAGAAATTGGAGCAATGTGGCCACAGGCCCAGCAATGCTTGGAGCCCCCAGAGCTGGGAGAACAAGGAGGGAAGCGCCCCTAGAGCCTCACTGCGAGCGTGGCCCTGCCCACACCCTGATTTCAGGCCTCTGGCCTCCAGACTGTGTGGGAAGGAATCTGTTGTTGCAAGCCCCCCAGGCCATTACAGCGGCCCTGGCACACTGGGCTCAGGTTCACCTAAGGTCTCCTGGCAGGCCTGGGCTTTGAGGGCCCCGAACGGGACTTCCTCATGAGAATGGGGGCCAGGGGAGGAGAAGGCTGAATGCAGCCCGGAGGGCAGTGGAGGCTGGAAGACCTCCCATCCAGCTGCACGGGGCCAGCAGGCCGTGTGTGCCCAAGCTGCAGGAACCTGGGGCCCAGCAGGACCATGTTGGGGTGACTATGGTGCAGGCAGGAGCAGGAGCTAGGGTGCCAGCTGGGCCCCAAGACCTGCTTGGTTTAAGGAATTCCCCCTGGCAAGCCGCAAAGAGGAACTTGGGATGCACCCTAACCCCGGGGCTGCAAAGCCTCCCGATGGGGCCAGTCCCCAGCTTAGCCCCGCATCTCTCCCCTCCTCTGCAGCTGACCCAGGCTGGTGTCCCCCTGAGCCCAGGGCAGGCTTCCTGCTGGGTGCTTCTCCAGGCTCCTTCAACTGGCACCCCGGCCCTGTGGCCCACCAGCCCTCACCAGCTCCTTCCCGGGTCCACACCAAGGCCATCCTGTAGGACCTGGAGAATAACCGACGTCCATTTCCCACCTGGCATTTCCATGAAGAAAAGTAAGGGGAGTGCTGGCGGTGGGGGGGAATGGCTGGAGGCGGCTTCCCTGTGGGTGCAGGAGGCAGGCAGAGTGCCCAGGCCTCACTGGGGGGCTGCTGGCACACCCGCCTGTGAAGGAAGTGCCTTCAGCAGAGCCGAAGCCGGCCCCCGGTGTGACAGAGAACAGAGGGGCAGCCTCCAGGGCCCTGGGCTGGCATGGTGCGGGCGCTCCGCCCAGAGCCTGGGGACTCAGCCCATGTGACACAGCTGTCCATAGTGACAGCAGGGGGTGCCCTTCTCACCTGCAGACCAAGGGCTGCAGGCAGCTGCAGGAGGGTTGGGAGGTGTGGTGAGTGAATGATGACAGCAGGCGTGTGATCGGGTTTCCAATAGGACCTCAGAGAAGTCTGTGCTCGCGGGGAGGGCGGGCCTGGGACCAGAGCCCTCACCGCTCACTCATTCATTCAACAAACATCCCTTGAGCGTGACTCTGAGCCCCTGTGGGGACCAGCCAGCCAAAGCCCAGATGGAGAGGGGCTCCCCTTCCAGCAGGAGAGGTCGGCTGGGTGCCAGGAAGGCGGCTCTCAGGTAGTGACATCTAATCCGTGATTCCCTTCCATCCCAGAATGTTCTCATGTAAAGATGGGATCATTTTATTCATTGCTTTTATTTAAGATCCCAGGAGGAGGAGGGAATGAGAAAGGGGGAAATGTGCAGGGTGGTGACGGAGCAGAGAGGCCTTGAGTCTGAGCGGCTCCCTGAGCCTAGCCAGGGCCTCCCGGGGCCCGGCTCCCTTCTGTCCCCCGCTCTCCCTGCCACAGGGCTCCTTCCCGCCGCAGTACCACCTTGGTCCGGGCCAGCCACCCTGCCGGCTCCGTTCAAGAGAGAATTCATAAAATACGAGGAAGATAAACTTGATACCTCGGGGGGTCACTGTGGTTCCCCGACTCAAGAAATATGGGGATGTCTAAGCCGGATGACAGATACAGTGGCCTTTCTTGGGGGAGACAGAGATGCAATGCTCCACACACCCAAATCCATCACCGTGGGACATACATCCGGACACAGCGGTGATCTGCCAGCACGGCAACAGCGGGCTGCGGCCAAGGCCGTGCGAGCAGATTATTACGGCCTCTGGGGAGGGTACGTTGAAGATGCCTCGCATCACATGTTGATTTTTATTGTGCTGCATTTTCTAGGAAACAGTGGGAAAGCCAAGAAAGGCAAAGGTTTGAACTTCAAACTTAAAGGTTTGAAGAAATAAGCTGCACAGTAATATTTACAGATCCGGAACTGCCTGGTGTTTTGAACTCCGGATATGCATGTTACTTTCTGAGTATGCATGACTTCAACTCTTGGTTTCAATTTCTGAGAAAGTATGGGGACGCGATGAGGCTCACAGCAGGGGTGTCAGGCCCTAGGAAGAGAAGGAGGGTGGGATGGTGCCAGGCCAGGGCCCGGCACACAAGTCTGTACTCAAGAAACGTGCATTTCTCTCTCCCCTGTAAGTTCCATCCCTGAAAAACGAGAGATTTGCATTAGATTATCTCAAAGTACCCAGATTCTAAGAAGCCAGGTGGAAAAAAATTTGCTTAGGCTTGATCTCAAAGTTATTTCACATTTACATGCTTGAGAACATTACCAAAAATTTCTTAGCTTTCCCCTCATTTATTAAAAAAAATATATAAATACATAATTTTGATCTATCTATACTATGTGTCAGGCACTTTTTTCAATCTTATTTTACTGGCATTTCTGGCAATGCTGGGGGCCAGCAGGGCAGCTCATGCATCATACAAGTGGCAGTGGTGTCTCTGAGAAGTCAGCAAGCTGCCTGAGGCCACGTGGCAAATTAGCGGAGGGACCGAGATGGGCTGTCCCCACTTGAGTCTCCAGTGCTCATGTTTCCCACTGGGATAGCAGATTGTAAGAAGGACTATGCCGGAAAGCAGGCACGAAGCTGCAGGGGATGCGAGGTGTTTTCACCACGCAGGAGGCTTTAACAGAATATTTCATTTTGCTCCTTCAGCCCCGCAGGACATGAGAGGGAGGTCTGAGTGTCCATCTCTGTTTCACAGCAAAGAAACTGAGGCTCAGAGCTCTTAATGTCCACACCCGAGCACAGCAGAGATGCAGTCGTTTTCTCCCACCCCTTGTTCTCCGTAGGGCTCCAGCCGAGTGAGCAGAACCTACAGGCCCCTGCCCACCAGGCCACAGCCTCCTGAGCCAGGCCTGGAGCCCACCCGGGTGAGTCTGTCTGGTCCCACCTGCACAGAGGTGTGGCTTTGCAGGGCATCGGATCTGGAATGGGAGGGGGCTCAGTCTGCTGCTCCGCCCTCCCTGCCAGGAGCCCCGGCCTCCCTCAGCCCACTGGCGCCTGACTTTCTCCTTGTCTCCTTACCAGCTCGTCCCACGGCAACCAGGATTGCCCAGTGGGCTGCCCTCTGAATGACTCCAGCTATTTCCAAGGTTTGGACCCCCTCAGGGTGGGGGCCACATCTCACAGAGACTCATTTCTGAAGACTAGTTCTGCCACATACCCAGCCCAGCTAAGCCCCCTTGCCAGGCCCAGAGAGGACGCTGAGGGTCATTACCAGTCTGTCATGGTCACAGATGGCTGCAAGAGACAGGTGAGTTCACAGCATCGTAGGGACTTTTCCTGGGCACCAGGACAGCTAAGAAGGACTCAGCTCTGAGACAGACTCTCTGAGCTGCCGAGGCTCCAGACCACAACGCCACAGTCCAAGCCAGGGGCAGATGGAACGTGAGTGTGTGCCTTCAGGGCCCTTTGTGACCCGATCCTGTCTTGGTGTTCCAGCCTTACCCCACGTGATCCCTGTACTATGACTCCTGGACTTCCACCTACCAAGCTTCTAGAAGGTTCCATGCGCATCCTGCCTCTGAACCTTTTGCACCTCCTATACTGCCTTGGCCCCCAGCCCCCAGCACTCCAGTGCCAACGCCAAGGGCTGAACCCCATTTTCTGGCATTGCCTCAAGCCAAGGCGAGCTCTGCCCATCATGCCCCCCAGTGACACCCCCATCTTGTGATGTTCCTCCAGACACTGGCTACCCCTTGCACGTGGCATGTAGTACTGAGGGCATGTGGTAGGTTCGATGGCTAAGCACTGACTCAACCCCTCTTGTTCAATTTTGCACATGTATTTGTTGGTTTTATTGATGGAGTATTTGCTCTGGAAGCCATTTTTCCTGTTTGCTCATTAGCATCTACATTCCTAATAACATTCCTTCTTTGGAGGCTTTAATATCAAAAAATTAATAATCAATGTCCAGAACAAAGGCTGGCTGACATCATGAGCCTACAGGGTTTAGTCTAGCAAATTCTACTGTGTCTAGCATACAAAACCATACACACCAGGGGAGCATGTCATTTTTGTCAAGGGAATCGATTAAATTAATTCATAATTGACAATAAAGGTCTCGAAGATCAAGAATATTTTTCGTATTAATCCTCTGGCTCCACCCAAGTTGTGCTTTCCTCTTCACACAATCAGTTCCCCTATACCCCCAGCTCCTGCCCCAGTCAGGGCCCAGGGTGTGGGAGCCCCCCAGTGGGACAGTGACCCTGACATAACGAGGCCCTGCCCCATGACCGGTCTCGGGGGCCCTGTCTTCATGGGATCAGCAGGGAGGGGTGGCTGGACACCTTCCACCCACTCCTGGCTTGAGTCTCTGCTCCCGTGTCCTCCTGAGAAGTGGGGTCTCTGGAGAATCATGGGAGGGCTCTGTCCACTCCTTAGCCACCCCCTCAGGCCCCCCGTGGAGGGCAGCAGCCAAGCCCTTAAGTTCGGCATCCACGTTTGAGGCCTTTCCTTGCTGCCTGCCCCAGTGCCCACCCCCTCAGCCAGCTGCGGGCTCTCTGCTGGCTGCGCATCCCCTCCTGCCCCCGAGGCGGGGAGTCCATCTAGATCAGCCCCCTGCTCCTCAACCTTCCCCACCCAGCCAACTCCCATTCAGCCACCTCCACCCCCAACACCTTCCCTGGACCTTCACAACCCAGCAGGCGGGGTGGGCCCTTTCCTCTGCCTGGTTCCTTCTGAGGGCCCACCTGCTCCCTGTAGGCTGAGGGCTCTTGGGGACTTGCATGTGAGGCCCCTCTGTGCCTCTAGCAGCCAGCTCAGGCAGAAGCCAGGAACAGAGCTGGCAACAGGAGCGTCCCGTGTGTCCTGGCCTGCACGCCGGTGTCACGGCGACCCGGGGAGGGGTCACTGCTCCCTGCTCTGTAGCTGAGCAGGCCGAGCCCAGACAGGCAGGGCCTGGGAGCTAGTGCACCAGGAAGCCTGAACCCCACGCCCCGACTTCCTCCGGAGGCCGCGTTCCTACCTGTGCAAAGGCCACCCTGCCCGAGAACACACAGCGTGCACTTCACAGACATCACGTAGGAAGCACGACGTGCTTCCAGACCCACAGGAAGGAGCTGGGTTGCAGCCCGGCCAGCAGCACAGAGGACCTGCCTCGCCTGCACACCTGAGAATGGCCTTCTCCCAGGGCACCCATGCAGGGCTTGGGCCCCACTCTGTCTGCCTGCCTCACCCTTAGGCCCCTGGTCAGCTTGCTGGGTGGTGGTGGGACAGGGACAGCCAGGGGGCCCCTCTGGGAAGTGCAGAACGAAGGCAATGCAGCCCGGGGGCCCTGCCCGTGCCCTGTCATCCTGTCACCTACAAGTGCCACTTAGAACAAACTAGGGCCCAACGGCAGCCACAGACCTGAAAGCTTTTCTTGAAAACCCATGAACAGAGCCCTGCTGTGCCTTGATTTTAATTGTAAAGATAATCATGAGACAGAGAGGCTGCCTAAGAGAGGGGCTCTCCCTCCTGAAGGGAGAAGATGCGCCATGGGTAGGTGCGCAGTGAGAGGGGCTGGACTGGGAGGCGGGGGCGCGGGCAGAGCGGGGGGCAGGGCCAGCGGGTGCTGGGTGGAGGTGGCTCCTCTACTGTTTCCAAGCCCCTGACCTACAGGACCCCAGACCTGGGGCTACAGAGAGATGTCCCCAGGTCACCAGGCTTTGCCTTGACTTCTCCCTCCGCCCAGAAAGCATTCTCCTTCGACCCTTCCAGCCCGGCCCCACCTGTCACTCCCTCGGCCACTGGCATCTGTCTCCCAGCACCCATCACTCTGACATCCTGCATTTTTATGTGTGAAATGCTCATGGGGACCCCATGGGGCTGAGCACCGGGCTGGGCTCTGGGGATGACACAGTGAGGTGAAAGCATTAGTTGGGTACTTAATGGGTAACCCATTAATTGCTTTATTGCCTGTCTCTCTCCTACAAGGGCACGTGAGCTCCACTGGCTGGTGGCAGGGGGTGGGGGGCTTTGTGTTTAAATGCTCAGTCCTGACAGTTCTTCCACAAATTCCTCCTCGCACCTCAGTGCCCCAGGCCATGTGTCCCAGCCATCTGCCCCCAGACCATCACAAGGGCTACTCTGTTCTCCCTCCTACAGCAGCCCGGAGCTCCCCTTGGCCCCAGGGCATGGCCGAGCCCCTGCTTGGCAGCCAAGGCGGCCCCCATGGAGCACCCACGCCCCTGTCCAGTCTTACCCCACCTGCCCTTCTGCTCCTGCCGCCCTCAGGACTCAGGGTGCCCCCAACACTCCTGCCTTCTCTGTCCTGCTCATGCTTCTCTTCCAGCCAAGATCCCCCTCCTTGCAAACCTATCAAGACTTAACTCAAATGCTATGAGTGACCTCTGAAATCAACATAAGCAGATTAGGTGATCAGCTGCCATTTAATTAGCACCTAAAATAATCACACCCTCTCCAAATTCCCCAGGGATGGACCCACTCCTTCATGATCACCCAGTGAGGAGCCAGGATAGAGCACATGTGCCAGTGAATGGGGTGCCCAGGGAGGCTGGGATTCAGGGTACCTCCTCCCCAGACTAGAGCTCTTCTTTATTTTCTTCTGTAACAAGACTTGGGTGGGAAAGTGGATGGATGGGTAGATGGATGGACGGACAGATAGATGGGTGGACAGTGGATGGATGGATGGATGGATGGGTAGGTGGGTAGATGAGTGAAGGAGGGATAGATGGATGAGGGGATGAGTGGGAAGATAGATGGATGGAAGGATTGTGAATGGATGGATGGGCAGATGGATGGAAGGGTGGACGGATGGAAGGATGGGCAGATAGATGAGTGGGTAGATGGATGAATGGATGTGTGTGTAGGTAGAGGGATGGATGGATGGATGGATGGACGGATGGACAGCTGAATGGTTGGACAGATGGATGCATGGATGGATGGTGGAAGAGAGGATGGTGGACGGATGAGTGTATAGGTGGGTAGATAGATGCAGTCAGTTGCTGTGTGACCCTGAGCAGCTCCCTTAGCCAATCCGAGTGCCATTTTCTCATTAGGTGAAAAGAAAAGGTTCATGGGTAGAAGGAAAGATTTTCCCTTGGTATGAATCTGTCTGGAGAAGACGAGACCCCTGATCCTTGGGCTTCAGTACATTTGTGCCCCTCCTTGTGACCTCTGGCCTCTTTTTTCTTTTCAGTATGGCTGAGCATGAGGACCTGCTGACTGATAAAAGCTGCCTCCCTCTGATCACAAACTCCGGCTGTGCCACCGATCTCACCTCCCATTTGGGAGATGGGCGATCGCTCTAGCCTGCGACAAGAAAGAATGAAATTCCTCGCAGGGTTCTCAGTCTTGACTGCAGACTGGCATCACCTGGGGAGATTTAAGCATACACAAGGGCACCACTGCTGTTCAATTCAATCAGAATCCCTGGAGGTGGGGTCCAGGCTCACAACTCTCGTAGCCCCCAAGAGACTCATGCGCTGCTAAGCCCGGGGACCAGTGCGCTGGAGACTCGGAAGCACTCGGCGGCTAGAAGAAGGCTACAGACCAGACGGGTGCTTGGGGGGCGGATCTGTCCGGCCCGACAGGCCTGCCTTTGGATGTCCTGACCCGTCACCACCTGCTTTCAGGCAGCCCGCGAGCCCAGGGGAACAGAATCGACCCACACAGCCGAGACTCAGGGTCTGCGTCAAGTCAACCATGGGCTCTGAATTTCTTGGAGAAACAATCCTTGTTCATGAGACTAATCATATGATCTCTGCCTCGGACACTTTATCTCCTCATCACCATCACCATCCTCACCACCCCCGACATCACCTCTGTGTCTGTGCTAAGCGTATTATGAGGGTCACTCATATCTGCCCTCACAAGATCTCTACAGAGTAAATGTAGTTTATTTTTCCTATTTTCCCAATGAGCACATTGTGATTCAGAGAGGTTAAGCAACTTGCCCAAGGTCACACAGCCACCAGATGGCGAGGTGAAGATATAAACACAGGTGTGCCAGATTTGGTGCTTTTAATAGAAAGGGGAAGATGGAACACAGTGTCTAGACCCAAACTCCTGAGTGTCAGGGAACAGCCTTGTCTTTCAGTGATCGAATCCCTCTTCCCCAGGGCTGACAGTGAGAATCTGTCAGCATAAGTCACCATTAGAATCCAAAACAACCAACTGGGACCAGGGAGTGCATTTCAGCTGGTAAAAACAAAGTTAGGGGAGGAGAAATGCAAGGCCCTGCTCCTGCCTTGGGTCAGCAGAAGAGTGTTCATTCATTAATGCATCCAACCAACCGTTCCCAAACGTCCTGCTATGCCCAGCACTGTGGGGTTCCTCTGGCTCTCACGTGGGCAGAGGGTAATCTACCCTTGACGGTCATACAAACATCAGAGAAGGCTTCTAAAATTGTTCTGGAGCACCTGCTGTGTTCCAGGTCCTGGGCTGGTCCTGGGGACACTGAGATGGTAAGTTGCAGGATGAGGGAGATAGAATTGGCCTAGTAGCAGCTATGTGCAAAAGGCTTTGGGCATGATGGGATGGAGACCAGCAAGACTTGGCCACGGGACTTGGTCACCACAAACAAGTTTGCACACTGAGGCTACATTAATAAAGGCAGCTCCATCACTGGAAAGAGGGTAGGAAGTCTCACTCAGATGGGGGCTATCCACACAGAAGCCATGTGATCAGAGACTGGGGAGAAGCAGAGAACCAGAGCATGTTCAGAAGAGGGTGGTAGAAGGATCTGGGGTCAGAGAACTACGCCCTGTGAGGAACAGTTGAGCTAGACGTCAGGCCTGGCCAGCTCTCAACCCGATCCATGGTGATAGCCTCCTGGAGGACCCTGTGCCTCCAGACTCACCCCTCTCAGCCTCTGTCCACAGCAGCCAGAGGGATTTTCCAGACATGATTCGGTGTCTGGGAATAGGTGGGTGTGGGTGAGTCAGGGAAGATGCAGTTTTCCACAGCTACTCACTGTCCCCACCCCAGGCCCACCAGACTACATCTCCCAGCCTCCTCTGCATGAGGTACAGCCCCAGGATTGGGTCCCAGCTGAGGGACTGAGGG